TTTGAAAGCATATTGGTGGATCTAAAAACTAAGTTGAACTACTAATATTTTATTTATATTTTAGTTTATTCTTTTTCATACATAAATAATATATAATTTACGTTACAGTAGACATTTTATAATCATGTGTTTATACTGTTGAAATTCTTTATATTTTCAGGAGACTCCTTGACATTTTATACTTACACTTTAAAACAAAATTTTTACAGTAAACTTGATTATCTACAAGTTCTATCTTTTCTAATGTAAGTCAGTATTCCAAATAAAATTCTAGCAAAATCCATGACTTTAAAATTTGTATATAGGGTGTCCAAAAAAATGTATATACACTTTAACAGCTAATAGCTCAATTTTGAAAATGAAATGTATTTTAATAAACACTGGCCTTTTTAATTATTCAAAGTGTATGTATACATTTTGGGGGGGACACCCTATACTTGTAACATTCTTTTATATATAATATAATTTTATTGATTTCATAGAGGAAAAGAGAGGGAGATAGAAACATAAATGATAAGAGAGAGTCATTGGTCAACTGCCTCATTCACGTCTCCCACTGGGGATCGAACCCACAACCCTGGCATGTACAGTCAGAATCAGACCATGACCTCCTGGTTCATAGGTCGATGCTCAACCACTGAGCCACACTTGTGACATACTTAGAAGTTAATTTTAAAAGGAAAACTTTTTAAAAACTTCACTGTTAAAATCAGTGATTCGGCTGTTACCTAAGCTTGCTCGTTATTTTCTAACTCTACAAGTTAGAGACAAACTTTTAAAGTTTGTCAGTATTATAAGATTTAAAAGGTCATTGCATCTAAATAATGTTAATAAAATGCAGAGAAGAAAAGAATTACTTTAAAAATTACTTTCAAAGTCACATATTACTAGACTAGCAGAGTAACCTTAAAATAATCTTTTTACTTCATCCTATAGTTAAGTCATGATTTGATTGTTAGAATGTTCACTTTATGAAATACCAAGTGGACAGCTTTACCATGACATTCAATATTTAAATGATTTATACAGAAAGAAAAAAAAGTGCACCCAAATGGATGAAATTTCCACAAGATTTTTGTAATGAACTTAAAATTTCCCTTTAATTCTATAAGAGACATGGCTTTTCTAATTACAGTTAATAGTTCTGACATATGTACATTGTACATTAAAAAAGGTATATATAGTTACAAATACCAGTGGATGTATGCCAGATCAGAAAGACAAAACACTTTACAAGACATGGATTTGTTTACATATGAAGTTAGAGTCAGTTTTCTTAAATCACAAATAACTTTTCTTTTTTAAGTTGAATTATCCCTCTGTTTATTTGACTCACTTTTACAGAGCAGCCACTGAAGTTTGGGCTGGTGAAAGCTGCATGGTTCACCAATTATGATATAGCCCCTAAACTCAAATCTAGTTCACTACATGCTCTGTTTTGAATATATTATTGTAAAATTCAGTGATTGATTTAAACTGTCATGTGATGATTCACTGTATTATAATTTCTTTTGTGGGGGCACACTGACTTGCTCTAAAGCAAGAAATTTTGTAATTGGGTCCTTTTCATCAGAACTTGAGCTTCAGAATGATAATATTATGCTAAGGGACATGTCTCTAGGTGTGCCCTCGGGGACATTTGCTGTTTCTATGTAAGATTTCATAAGGCTTTCAGATTATCCTCATTTTAATAAAATGCATATGGTCATTAGCTTGATTTTGAATAGTTCCTTTGAGGATTTGTAACAAACAAATTTAATATATCATAATTTTCCTTTGTGATATCAAGGAACCATTGCTATTTGTTTTGAGGTAGACCTAAAGAAAAAACAACTAAGGCAAGGAAAAATTACAACCAATATAAGATCCCTTTAAAGTTGCATTGTTGCAACCTTAACACTGAATAGGTTTTTTCTATTTCTTTTTCTTTCTTTTTTTTTTTAAAGTAATGTATGGCTAGGTCTTTTTGGTTTATTAACTGAATTATTTAAAACTAGAGGCCCAGTGCACAAAATTCGTGCATGGAGGGGTGTCCCGCAGCCCAGCCTGCACTCTCCAATCTGGGACCCCTTGGGGGATGTCTGACTGCCGGTTTAGGCCCGATCCCTGTGGGATCCTAAACCAGCAGTTGGACATCTCTCTCATAATCAGGGACTGCTGCCTCCTAACCATTCACCTGCCTGATTGCCCCTAACCACTTCTGCCTGCCAGCCTGATCGCCCCCTAACCACTTCCCTGACAACCTGATTGATGCCTAATTGCTCCCCTCCCAGCCCAATAGCCCCCAACTGCCCTTCCTTGCTGGCCATCTTGTGGCCACATGGGCGTGGCCATCTTGTGCAAGGGTGTGATGGTCAATTTGCATATTACCTCTTTATTATCTACACTAATAAAAGAGAAACATGGTAATTAGCGTACGACCGCTACCCTTTTCATTGGCTAATCAGTGAGTATATGCAAATTAACTGTCAGCCAAGATGGCGGCCGGCAGCCAGGCACTGAAGCGAGCACGAGGCTTGCTTGCTGCAGACTCCAACGTTCCCCGCCACACTTGCCGGCCTCTCATCTGCAACTCTAAGCAACTATATACTATGTTGCAAATAAGAAGCTAAACAAAACCCCAGAAAAGGGCTTCCATTCAGCCGGGCTCGGACCGCAACATTGTATCGATGTTTTCAGCAGCGAGGCCTCAGAGCTAAAGCTGGCCCAGAATAAAAAAAAAAAAGAGAGAGAGAAGAAAACACGGAGCGGTTGGAAGCTTTAGTCACTCGCCAGCCGGAAAACAGCCCTCAGCCCCTCACCCAGACTGGCCAGGCACCCCAGTGGGGACCCCCACCCTGATCCAGGACACCCTTCAGGGCAAACCAGCCAGCCCCTACCCATGCACCAGGCCTCTATCCTATATAGTAAAAGGGTAATAGGCCTCCCAGCACCGGGATCAGCGGAGCAGCGAGGCTCCCGGCACCGGGATCAGCATGACAGGGGGCAGCGCCCAAACCCCCTGATCACCCTGCGGCTCTGTGTGTGACAGGGGGCGGGGCCACAACCTCCCTATCCGCCCTACTCTGTTCGTGACAGGGGAAGGCACCCCAACCCCCTGATCAGCCCTCCTCTGTGCCTGATAGGGGGGAGCTCCCCAATCCCCTGATTGCCCTGCGGCTCTGTGTCTGACAGG